AGACTGTGCAAAGGCCCCGAGGAAGCTGCCCATTTCAGATATCCAGGGCTAACAAGAACTAGGGTGGCAAGAGGAAAGACCAAGAGGGAGAGGGGCGGCTCAAAGGCTGAGAGCACAACAGTGGTTACCCGAGGATGGGAAGGTGAGCAAGGAAGGGAGGACATACATGGGTTAATTGATGGGTACAAAAACACAGGAGAATTAAATTCTAGTGTTCCACAGCACAGAAGTGGGCCTTGGGCTACCCATATTTTTTTGTTTATTTCAAAGTAGTTAGAAAACAGGCATTTGAATTTTCCTGTCGATAGTAATGATAAATGTTCAAGGACAATGGGTATGATAACTACCCCAATTTGATCATTAAACATTTACACAGGTAGCAAAGTATCACACAGTCCACCATAAATATATGCAATTAATTTTGTGTGAACTGAACATGTAAATAAATTTAAAAAGAAGGTTCTCCTTATAATTTCTTCTGTAAGATACTTTCTTTGGTGGTATCTAACCCAAGATGTGATTATGCTGATTAAGAGAAGATCCATGTGTAGCTCTTTGGATCTCAGAGTTTAAAGCAACTTGCTGAGTTCAAAAATGTCAGCCCAGTAATTGTATTTGTTACGATTGCATGAACATAGTAAAGCACCCAGAAACTCCATTTCTTTAACTCTAAATGTGATGATAATGGTACCCAATACATAAGGACCTTGTGAGAAGCAAATGAGGTGATGTGTAGGTAATTTTAACTTAATTTACAGAAGGTGGGTAGTGGAGAGGGATGTGGACAGAGATGCTGAACAATGTTGAATATAGATGCAAAATAAATGAATCTGTGCTGAGATCTATGCACAGCTCTGATTATTGCAGCACTGTGAACAACACCCAAGATGTGGAATCTGTCAGGGCATCCATCAGGGGATGAATAGTGAAAGAAAATGTCCATTGGTAGGAGGATGGATACAAAACACAACAGAATCTTATTCAGCCTAAGAAACAATGAAATCCTGCCATGTAGCAACATGGATGGAAATGGAGCTCATTATTATAAGTGAGATAAGCCCAGACAGTAAGACAGATCTCTCCCGCTGTCATTCATGTGTGGAAGCTACAAATCCTGAAAGAGTGGAATCCTGGTCGCTGGAGACAAGGAAGTTTAGGAGGGAGGGAAGACAAGGCAGGGGAGATGCTAAGCTCCCACACACTGATAGGCAGGAGGAACAGCTCTAGTGGTCTGTAGCAGTAGAGGGGAACGGTAGCCATAGAAACCTTCCAACATTTCAAAGTAACTAGAAGAGTCTGAAGTTCCTCAATATGTAGAAGTGATTAATGCTTGAGGAGAAGGAAATGCTAACCACCCTGATTGGTTCATTTCACATACAATGCATCTTCCAAATTATTCTATGTACCTAATAAATATAGGAATGTTAGGTGTCCATTAAAATATTTTAAAAATCGTATTTAGCATGTTGAAGAATCAAGTAATTTTGTGCCACTAAAACATCAAGACAAATGACTCCGCCCAACTCTTTGCTTTTGCACTATTAAATTTGCTACAAAATTTTTCCTTTGAATTGTAGTGCACTGACATTTGATTTCTACCTGTCATCTTGAGTCCTGGGATCTGTATCAGGAATCCCCATTAGGAATGTGGAAGCTGGTGGACTTATGATGGGGTTATGTCCTGATAAAGCCACCCTAAGACTTGTAACATCATAAGTAAAAAATGCACTAACATCCCCAACCCAACAGCATCCCAGCTGAGCAGCACGGCAGCTGTGGAGTCTCAGGTGCTTACCCAGGGGATAGTCTGGCTGACCAGGAGTCCAGCTCTGTGCTACCAGAGTCCAGCATCATTAAAGGGTATTGTATTACATATCACCAGCCTGGAAAAGATCAAAATTGAAAATTCAAAGTAGTTTTTTTTATAATGCACATCATTTTTAGATGATCATAAAGTTTAAAAAATCATTATTATTTTGAGCCTCATAATTTGGGGACTGTCTGCATACTATTCTCAGGTCCACTTGCTCTGAAAACGACACACACACTCGCACACACACACATACACACAACAGCCCAACGTGTTCACATCATGCTCTTCTCACCCCAGTCACACTATCCAACAGGAATGGGTACAAGGCAAGTTGTCAAACTCAGTTTCACTTTCCCCTAAAGAATGAAGCAATGGTGCTCAGAAACTCGAGGTTCGCGGTCTCCCATCACAGCTACCTTGGAGATCCATTTTTGTATAGTCATTATCTGCTCTGCATTTAAAGAAACAGGAAATATGCTCAATAAAGAGAAGGGGATGCAAAAGGGACCTGAGAGAGGAACCGTCTAAGGAGGCAGGGGTCCCTAGGATGCTGCAAGGAAGGAGAAGCTGCCTTGATTCTGGTGGCATTTCCCTCCCATGATTGCCTCCATGGCCAGCAAAACTATAAGGGATCTTTAATAAAGAAAGGGCATCTTTTCAGTGTCCATAAACATCACATCAACATTCAAATAGACAAACTGAATATTGCAAGCCAACAACCCATGAAAGGAAGTTCACCAAGAACAACAAATGCTCTCCACACTGTCCCCGGGACAGCAGGGCAATGGCCCCCCTGAGGCTGCTGCTCTCTGGCCATGAGAGGAAGAGAACAGCCACGTCCTGTCAGTCCAAGGTGGAGCATTCTGAGGAACAGCAGCAGAGGAGACATATACAGCTCCTCAGACTGCTCATTAGGCATGTTCCTCATTATGGCAACACTGGGCACACAACCAATTCCCCTGCTGGACAGTGCTCTGTGCACAAGAATGTTTCTTTTTCAAGCATATTCTCTATTCCCAAGAAACACAATTAAAGTCAGCAGAATTCATCCTATTACTTCATCTCTTCTTCCTTCCAGAGATTTAACCTCAAGACACCCCAAGCAGAAGTTCTCTTCCGAATCTGACAGGAAGAACCTATCTTACCCATGAGGCTTGGAAAGGTTAAGTGATGTGTCCATTGGGCCCATTGGGAGTCAGATTCTCAACACACAAATATTGGAAGAGGCAGAAATATTAAGTCAACAACAGAATAGAATTGTCCCAGACCAGGAACGACCTGCCTTGAACAGGTGCTCAATAGGCATTTGGGAGGGGAAAACATGGCGGTGGGGAGGGAGTGAGCCACCAGGGCCCCGTGCTGCCAGACCTGCAGATCTCACCAAGTCAGAATACTGCATCTCTGAGGTGTTAGAGCACCCCTATCCAGCTGCTCTCTGCAGAAATCACCAGAGCTGTGACCCCATGCAGGGATCAGGCCTCAGGGTTCCAGGAGGTCATCCAGCATTGGAGCAGGACCCAAAGCCTGGGGGAGGGCCTTAGCAGAATCACCTATGAACATATCCTCAGATCGCCAAGATGTCACTCAGCTCCCACACAGGTCACTTCACCTGCTACCTACCTACAGCCCAAGGCCATCATCCAGCTCTCCCCACACCACCAGGCTCCCTCCACCTCATCAGACACCCAGGTGCTGAAAGCAGGCTGCCACCATCTTGGCTCAACATTCTCGCCATATTATCTGGGGGCAGTTCCCAGATAGGATCTCTAGTGGCCAGGTACCAGATTCCCAACCTTCCCCCCATCCCCAACGGCGGTAACCCAACACAGTAGTTGCCCAAACAGGTGTGCAGTGAGGCCAGACCAGGGAGCTGCCCACAGATCAATTGAGAGTTTCCTCAATTGGAACTGCTAGGGGAGAGGGAAAGACCAGGAACTGGGAAATTTCCAGGCAAGAGAGGGAGATAGTAACAGGCACTCATGTCATATGAGCAATCAGTCCCAAAAAGAGACCCGTGAGGTGCAGTCTTTTTGCAGAGACTGGTGGTGCCACTCCTCGCATCCAGGCACCCTGCTCCAGGACCAGTCTTCCCACCCTGGTTACCTCCACCATCCGGAGGACAGAGGCACCAGCTTACAACAGAGGACGACACCTACTGGATGAGAAGAGAATCAGGACAGATACGGATCTCTAAAGCTAGACCCTGGCTTCTTCCTTTGAGGTTTTGGTTGGTTGGTTGGTGGCTTGGTTGATTGGTTGGCTGGTTGGTTGATTTTTTCTATTCTACCCCTCCATCCTCCGGCCCTCATGTCCCCAATATAT